GTGGCCTTTAGCTTTCCGACTTTTTGATTTAAAAAGCAATGTTAGTTATCAAATATGTACTGACTGCACCACAATAATCCTACGGCAGTTAGTTGGAATATCGAGATTTCAAAGGTCTATTAAAGTGATCTATGAATGCTATATACGCGGTCCTATCCAATAAAACATCATTTTGTTATGGTTCATGTTCAGTATATTATTGGTATTAAAAGGTGTTAAAAATAAAACAAATATATTTATATGTTTATATGTGTGTTTATACGTGTAATGGAAGATGAAGACAAGTTACACCAAGAAGTTATAAAACGATTGGACCACTAGTGGGTGCTGTAGCCAAAGTTTGCATGGTAATATTTATTACTTTTATATTCTTAGAACAAGTCATTCTCAGTCATTTTGGGGCTATTAATACTAAGATGTAAAAGTAGAAGAAACAAAGATGTTGAATAGTTATTTCAGGTAGGGAGGACTCAGGGGATTTTTTATTCATTAGGTGCCATGAATCTCAACTACGAATCATGGAAAAAATCCCTCTGGAGTTAAAAACGATGAACCAAACTACACCTGCTTGCTGGACTCCAACCATTAAAATAACATGTTTTAAGAAATTATTTTTTTTTAGAAACTAAACAAAGAAAGAGTCAACACAGACAAATGGATACAAGTTGTTTTTGGAATTATTTTCTCCAACTAGAAAAAATTCTTGTTGTGTGCTTTTGGACAAAGAGCAGCCGACCAGCCTTTAACAGACATGACTAACACACACTCACACACTATTATACTGGGATATAATATAAAGCAAATAGGACATCATTAAGGATTTTATCTCTGGGGAAAATATGAATAGGAATAATATTGTAGTGACAAAAATTTGATTTGCAAATTCTAGTTTTTATTCCTTCTTTTTTTCTTGTTCTGTTTGAATGAGCTGAAATAAATAGGTATGAGTCCATCGTRTACCCAGCGTGAAACACTGTGGTCGAATGGCTACTTCTTGCAACGTTACAGCCACGGACCATGGGCGGGGGACACACAACAATTCACTAAAACTTCTTAATTTGTGAATTCTCATCCTCGAAGATGGGATAGCAAGAGACTCACTAACAAAATCAAACCTCCTCTTTCGATTTTTTCCTCTGATCTTGCGTTGAGTCCAAGATTGACTGATTTTTAAAACACTAAATGGTCTATTGATCAAATTGTAAATTTCTTTTAGCGCGGCTCGACTCTTGAAAAAAGTCTCAAATTTTTGTTTCACACGATCCTTGAAAAAATTCTCAAAGTTTCAGATTTTTGTAAAAACTAGAGTTTCTGAAAGCTATCGTTGTTGGTAAATGAAAGGTAACAGATTTTAAGAGTTCTATTTGGACGTGAAGCGTGAGGGTGCCTTGGATACTCAAATGATCAAACTACACCTTTAATAATGTGCTGCAAGAGTGCATCAAATGAACAAGGCCTTGAGTTCAATTCACATTGCTTTTAATCCTGATTCATTGCTGTACTTTTATCCAAAGATACGAGAGATCAGTCCAAGCAAAGGATCTTTAGTTTAGCACTTACAGCTGTATGTTGAGTTTGTTGTAGGGAATAACACTTTCTAATTGAATTAGTAGGATCTTTATTAGTTGACAAAGAACACCCAAGATAAGGTCATTTTAGCGACAACAAGCGAGGCTAATGGGGAAACGCGTTCACCTAAAAATGCCTTGTAAAAAGAACCATATTGGATTTGCTGTTTTAAAGCACTTCACTGGTATTATACAGCGAAGCCTTGACTTCCGATGGTTCTTTTCGGATACAATACTAAGAGTAGACATACTGTTTGTTGTACAAGACGTCTTCTTTATGCATACTCGACCATCATCTCTGATCAACGAGAAAGGAAAGACAGTGAAATGGTCAGAATCGGGTTCAAAATAGTTCCCATCGTAAAAATAGACGAATTCTTTTCTTAAGRGAGAAGTTATGAGGATCAATAAAAGTAATGAGACGTCGACATGTTGTCACAAACAGCCCGCCTTCTATTCTTTAGTAAGGATAACACAGCGTTGTAAAAACAATGTTGCCTGYTTCTCACGTTCACCCAAGCGTTTATTACTACCAAGGACCTCCGATTCATAGATAGATATCTCTAATTCTATCATCTTTAAGATCTGAGTGACTGTATTAGGTTTGGCAGCGAGTGGCTATGGTATTTTGAACCTGGTCATTTTATACAAAAGACAACATCAAAGACCGAGAAGTTTTATCTTATCAAACTCGTAGGAAAATGGAACCCTCCTATAAACTATATCGATTCTAGCTGTTTGCTTCTATGTAGGAATTGATAAATTATGTAAGATGATTCTACATTATTAATGYGTTTGAAGAATTAGGTCAATTCTTCCTGCTGTACATAAAACATGTACACGGTTGGATGTTGCTCCGATGCTTCAGCTAGTCATTTAGTATCAGAGGTTCATGTATTTTGTCCAGTTTCGCGGCAATCATTTGCTTGTATGAGAACTGAACGAGGTCATGGCATTAACGATCGATTTTTTTCTATTGTTGCTCTAAATGAGTAAGCCTTAGCAATGTTATCGCGTATCTTATGGCTGATATCTATAATACATCACACTTAGCAATCAAATATAATAATATAACAAATTCTTTTGATGTGCCAAATAACTGAACACAAAATGGCCGCTACATTCAATTCTGGGCAATTAAACCTTACCATAACACGGGAGCTGATTTCTTGATTCTGGTTCTCGACTACTCGCGAGAAGTTGGTCAACGCCAAAGCTTAACTGTGCGRGTGAATCACTGGAAGAAGTAGGGTCTGCATCGGCAGCATGTTGTGTCTCGGTCCGCCGCGACTCAGACGGTGTGGCTAGAATATCGTCTATACGGAACGAAGAAACACGTCTTTCTTGCGCGCTGTTTTCTCTTGCGGTCATGTTCTTGGCCAGGACGATCAGAGCACGCTGAAATCGCTTCTCGTTATGCGGGAAGTTATGTATGGGACTGAGAACAAAAGAAGGCCCTTCAACTGCCGCTGCTCAATTCAAAGCCTCCAGGTGAGGTGAGAGTGACAGGGCAATGTTGATTGTCAGGGTATATGCCATTGATGACGATTTGTTGATTTAGATCATATTGATGGGCAGACATATACTTATTACTGATATATGCAATATCCTTTAAAACAAGATCTTGCTTCTCCAAAAAAGCCTGACTAGGTTAGATGGATATCGTTTGTAATCAAGAAGGAGTTTAGTGTTATAGCTTGTCGTAATCCTCTGCTAAATTGGCGTGCTCGTTGCTGAGGCGGATTAGAGACCAATAATGTCTAGTGATTCGGAATAACAAGGGATGTAATCCGAAAATTGGATTATCAAACATAGGAAACGGCTRGTTAATAATAGAGGCGTACAACGAGGGTGGCAAAATCGTGAATAAATCTACTTCCTTCCTCTCTATATAGTGTACGAAAATAAAAACAACCCCCGTCCTTTATGTACATGTATTTTAGCAAAAGTTCCATGAAGTGTTTTCCATGGAGGTTTTTTTAGCGTGTTTTTTAATGTTGTTTCTAGGTTGGTGTGAGGGATGTCATGGGTGGTACTTTAAACAAAGTTTACAATTAGCAGCTATTTGGAGAAGTCGAGTCATGTTTCACTGTGATGATTAACGAGAACAACAGTATTTACGCTACGGCTGGTTAATTAACTCATTACTCGCCTGTTTTTACTTATAGATGACTCGATAAGTCGTTTAATTTCGCATTAGAAGGTTCTGTAGTTCCTTATCGGACGCACGCTGACAAAAGCACGCGTGGATAATGGCAGACTTTTATAGTGTATCTGTTTTCAAGAACCCTGAAAACATAGTCAAAATAAAAGCCTTTTTTATTGTGATTCCTGCTGTTGAGACAACAAAGCTATAGCTTAAATCCCATTTATACGATCACTTGAATCAAGCTACTTCTGATTCAATCCAAGCACTCACTTACGAGACTTCTAAGCCACGTATAGTATTGGTGTATCGGTAGTGGGATAAACGTGAACACGCTCTCAAGTCYAAGTGGTTATTTTAGAACAATTAAACCTTGAAGCAGCAATTAATTAACATGAGCTTGAATGTTTCTAGTGTTATGACTAGAAGAACGTAGCTCGGAGTGTACAGATTTCTCACTCGATCGCTAGATATAGATGTGAGGCCAGGCCAAAGATTATCTGCAATAATCGGCTTTATCCGTCAAAATGCTTGACGATTCTGTCGTTATGCGATCACACATCACACCTGGGGTAATAACAATGTCACTTYGCTCCTAAATGGATTATATTTGTGTATCTATTTATGAGGGAAAATGAGTCAAACTCCCCAAGACAGACAACTTGGACGTTTTATAGTTCGATGTATTAGGGCGACTGTAAGAAAGTGATCAAGTGACGGAGACTAATGATATTATCAAAAGACAAGACTGAGTCGAGATATAGTCTAGCTATTGTTCTATGTGAATTTATTTAAGATTATTATCAGGATATCCAAATACTTGGAAAACCGTTTCATTCTCCCGCTAAAACGTTTGTAATCCTGTTTGCTTGAGTCGTACTTTCAAAGTCGCTCCCGCCCAGCAAGCCCGCAAGTATTTGGGCGCGAACCGACCAAAGCAAAGTGAAGCCTTTGGTAACAAACTTCTTAATTTTCCACAATAGAGTACCGAGAAACACATTGTCGTTAAACGGTCTTTTCAGAACATTTTTGACAGGATATAAAAAGCACTTAGGAATATATTGTTAATTATTTATTTAAGTTGGRTAATTATTGTAAAAAGTACAACTGATAAAACAAGGCAATGTCGTTCAGACACTAATACCCTTAAACATTCTCTCTATACACCAAATAGCAACTGAATAAAGAAAAAGGACCACGACTGACAATTGATTTACAGGACTGCACAAAACCCCCTCTTTTTATATTTCAGCGTCGAAGAGTGTAGGGAGTGATTGCTCAATCTCTCCCAAACCAGAAGCTCGTGTTAAGGGCTTTTGAGGCCAGATCGAATTGGAATTTAGATATTTTTTGTTTGTTTTTTGCTTTGTTTTTGTTTTTGTTTTTGGGCATAGGGARGAAAACAGGGGAGCCCGGAGATAAATCCTCGAAGCAAAAGAAGAACCAAGAAGCACTGAATGGGGCAGATCCAGGRATTGAACGACTTGGATCCACAACTATGGCAATGAGAGGCGGAGCATTATCCATACAGTACTTAGGCAAACAGAAAGAACAACGAAAAAATACACAAACCTTTTCATTCTCAYCGAGTTCAAAGAAAATTTGTGTTTTAAGCCATAGCGGTCGAACTGAATTGAAAATACCGAAGATATCAAGGTTCTACTCCTCCATCAACATTGCTCTTTACATTTAATCATCAGCTATTTCAGTACTTGTGGTTATTAGATGGCTATTTACAATAATGGACATAAGAGTAAGGGCTACTAGGTTAAAAAATACTGAACTCGTAAAATGTTTGAAGTGTTGATCAAAGTTGGCGTTGACTCTCTTTTAAAGGAAATTTGATACCACAATGGTCATCAAGTTTGATATACTGTCATAGAAATAATTGAAAATAAATCAAAAAAACGAGGAAGAGTTGAACACAGTAGAGAGATAAAGCTGAGTCACTCTTTACGACACAACTATATAGATTTCTTTGATTTATTTTCAAGGCTTAGTCTCACTATCTGTCAAGGTTTGTCTAGTTTCTTTTTATTTAAAATCTGCCTCTAGAGTTATTACTTCGATAAAGAATAAAATGGAAAACATCAATGCTGTAATAAATGTACACTGTTTGTACTATATCAATTTTCGTTCCATAAAGTTAGCTTTTTCAACTTTTCTTTTCTTTTCGTTGTGTGTTTTATAAGAATACTTGCAAGTAAATATAGATATACTAAACGAGGCCAAACGAGGTTTAAAGTGTTCAGTTCTGAATACTTTCTAATCGTTGGCAAAACGATAAACAGAACTTCCACAATGTTGGACAGCGACAAAAAAGTAAAACATTTAGTTTTAACAAAAGAAAAACGAAAATCGGCAATCGATACTCAGCAAGAAACGGAGCCCAAGTCACATTTTGTTGTATGTGATGTGACATCGTGGGAACACGTCAGAGTGGAGTTAGAATGAATTCTGTGCGTGGGATCAGTACGATCAATGGATAAACACACAAACAAAGTACGAATGCAAGGCACTAATGAGTGAYGACAAACGTGATCAGGTGTGAGTTGAATGGCATATTATCTTCTTCTTTTTGTTCTTAATTGGTTCTTTTGTCCTTCAATTTTCCTTCTCTCAGACCATCTTTAAAAACGAGTGCAACAATGTACACTATCAAATTAGATTCGTTCTACTTCTTCCACTCGTTAAAAGTCAATTACTAAAGTTACTAATGATTCTAAGCAGAATCAGATAGCACTAACAGCAAGTGAAAACACTAGATAACATCAATTCAGTATAAAAACTGACGTTCCTCGACAGCCACTCAGGTTACACCATCCACATCTTTTGGAGCTTACGACCAACTGCAAATTCTTTTCTGTTTTTGACAAGAACTCGATCAGGTCCACTCTGCCACGTGCTGTGAAGTCAAGAAAGAAAAGGAAGATACTTCAACCACTTCCTTTCCTCCGACCGCAGAAAAAACACATAGGGTGGCTCAGGGAGGTAAGACATATTCGATGGATCTTGTGACAAGATAGAAAACGGAAGTGTTGAATAAAAGCGATTGCTCGATAAGGGAATAAAGGTTGGTATTGACATGTCTGAGGAGTGTCCGGTGACTAGCCATGATGACGAATGTAGGGGGGGAAAGGAGGGGAATTAAAGCAATAGAAGTTGGCATTGTCAGACAGATTCTTTTTAATGTCGGCTTTGCAGTGTTAGGGGTAACGACTTTGCCGGGCCATTTGTTGTCCCAGCCCTACTTCTTGCACTGACGTTGTCCGTACTTTAGCCAACTGTATCAATTCATAAAATCCTGCAGTAATGTTTGGTTTATTAGTTTTATCATTCAACATGGATATTAAACTCTACAATTCATAGTTTTTTGTTATTCACTTTGGACTGAGCTCAAACTGCTCACCTGTAAATAGAGTCTTGTATACTAAATTGTCCAGTTTTTGGACCACCTATCGACTCCACGTCGCCCCAATTCCCAAAGTAGTTTTAAACAAAATACAAAAGTACTTATTATCAAAAACAGACTTCATTTTTAATAGGATCATTTTATTCATTTCTTTGTCACAGACAATGAGTTACATTCATAAAAAAATGCTGCAAGTGATCTGTTGCTCCAACAACAAGCTACACGGCACAAACACAATGYTGTAACTTGTTCCTCCACCAGCTTGAGTCAGGTCAACAAATCTAAACAAAGCTGGCGCTTGAAATTCAGATAGCACGCAGCCAACAGTGAAGAGTTTATGGCCACATATCACTCAAATATGTCAGAATCCATTAAAGCCTGGGAGAGTAATCGTAGAAATACATCTACATAAAGCTCCTTACTTGAGYAACTTGAATAGTTGGCCATAATACTATGACGCATAAGCAAACACCCATGCATACATAATCTATAAAGATTCATTTTAAATTCTATTATGCTGTGAGATATTTTTGTAAGATGTAGATATGTCAGACTCGGAGTTTGAGTCAAGGCTATGACGTCAAATAACATTCCATCCAGTAGTTTACACAATGATAAGCTAATTCGATAAAAGCGAAAGGACTCGCAACACAATCAAGGTTTATTTTCTCGATGAAAAGCAAGGGATATTTGTTTCCTCTTGATAAACCCAACAAAAGGTTATTTCGCATTAATACTGATCAAAAGTCAAGATTACTTTATAGCATSTTATTCTTTTTCCACCTTCTCTTTTTCTGTAGATTATCTTAAAAACGTTTGGAAAAATTTACGTTTCTATAACAACAGCTCCTATGCGACTCCTATCATGGCTGATTGGAGGCGAACCTGGAAAATATATTCTCTTATAGTTTAAACTAGATTGGATCATGTTCACCGCTGAATAAATGCARGTTACCGATAAGCTTTAAATTTTGTTCATAACATTTTAAAGCACGAGCCGAGTATATCCGTACAAATATATCGATAAAATTAAATTATTATGATTTGGGAGCTGGTTTTGGATCGATTTACCGCGGTAATGTTGCAAGCACCATATGATCAATTATTGCAGCATGTAAAAGCTGCACAGGACATACGAAAAAGATAATTCCGCACGATTAGATGTCGCTCGTGTCTCTTGAATGACGTAAAAACTGATAAAACATTCAATGATGAGAACCAACCAAATGGAATATTATTGACCCATTGAACATTTCAGCTGAATGGATTCTAAAACTGTCCCACTGAACCCGGGTCAAGGGTTTTGGAAAGCAACTGGGGACTTAAACGGAAGTCGTCACTACACTAGTTATTTAAAAGTTTGTTTTTCTTTCCATTCTTGTTTACTCGGCAAATTAAGAGGTTGTCGTAGGTAAACAATACAGATGTCAAAGGGGTTGTGGTGGCTGTCTAGAGTTAAAAGCTAGCAACATGCAAGGCTAGCCAAGTGCAGGAGAATGACCAATAAGTTGATGGGGCGGCAAGTCATGGTTACTAGACGGTCAAGTTCCTTTCTGACAAGCTGAAAAAAAAAAAAAAAAAAAAAAAACAGGCTAAAGCTTTTTTAATAGTTTGGTCGTAGATGCATCAACCATATTGTTTTCTAAGCTCAGATCTTCATCACATGGGTCTTTCTTACACCCCGCTATTTAACAGCCTGATTGAGACTTACATCGTTTTAAATAAAAACGAAATGGTTCTATACTCCGGGTGTTTCATTCACATTTAGCACTGTGCCTTAATGTTAATGAGAAATGAAGAGAGAAGATAAGGATATAGAAGAAAAGAGACAAGAAAATAAAATGACATACGGATCCTAACATACCTGACACAGGGCAAAAATATCTAGGCAAATTGCATATACCCATCCCAAATATTTTGGCAAAACCTCTCGGGTTTCTTGGAAACTGGTTGACTATTTGTCCTAATAACTTTTCATTCGATTAAAACAAGTTGACTTTTAAAACACATTAGTTCAATTAAGCAAAAATGTGTTTGGCTTTCCCCCTCTTTGACATTAACACCACGTCAGACTTCCAAAATAGTTTCCATTCAATTTCCAATTGATTTTATTATTTCTAATGATCAGCCAAGTGAACGACAGGGCTGAACGTTTAAGGCGGAAAATCAACTGAAACTGTTTGAAATTTGCATCATACCCGACGTAATAGCCCATTAGTCCATTGTGTCAATATTTGAGCGTCATTTTTGACGTGCAGCCACCAATAGCGATTTTAAGACCTGCTTTTAATTGTATGCTACGTTTCATAGTTGAAGTGAAAATTAGACAAAATGGAAAATCGATTTGTGAAACAGTTAGTTCCGATGGGCTTTCAGTTTTTTTTTCTCGTGGCTTCACAGACTCAAACAGTGACATTTCGTGTGGTTAACTCACTTGTTTATCCGGCTTACGGTTATTTCAGATAGCTTGTATACCAAAAGAAGTTTATTATTACTATATATGTTAGTCTTTTTTATTCGGTAATCTTACTAATTGGTTCTATAATGAAACTATTGCATTGTGGCTATATATCGATATCATTCCCAACATTGTTTTAATTTTCTTTTTATATTTTTTTGCATATTACATTGTTGTTTAGTGGTGAAGGTTATATCTTCTGAATGAGATCTGGAGGGAGGGAGAGGGGGAGAGAAAGAAGAAATGGGGACCTTTAAAAAAGCTACATAAGCAACCTGATAATGCATGCAGTTTTCTTATAAGACTAATAAGAAAAGAAACGACAGTAAAAGACACGAAAAAAATATATATATAGCGTAGATTTACGTTTCGTACCATGTATTTACAGGATGATATCGTACGACTCATAAGAAAACTATGGGAAGCCATGTCAGTGTTAACCCAGATTCCGCACCCGCGTGTACGTGCTGTAACGTAACATAGTACCGTACGTTCCCCCATGCACTCTAATCTTTTCTTTGAACTTATTTTTTTCACTTTCGGATAAATGATAGCGGTTCCTATCATTTACATTACGCCGTCGCAGCTTAACTGAACGTGTCTTACTTCCTAGTCATCTTTTTCATAATTTTCTCGTGAAGAAACTCCTTAGTTTTTAAAACATGTTCAAGTGGGTTTTAGTTCTCATGCTTCTACTCTATGCCATCAAGTCTAAACACAAAAATAAAAACGAAAAACGTTCATTTAGGATTAATTTTCCTCYGATATTCGTAATTAGTATCCATTAACTTTACTGAAATGACGTGCGCAGCAAGATGCGCGACGCAGTACCAATTAGTTTCCGGCCGATTGACTTATACATTTTATAATCATACACRATCATGTGAATTGAGAATTATATATGGTTTGAAATCCAAATCAATTACGTCCAAAGTGAAATGGGCTGGTAACACTGGACACATACTAGAGACGCTAGGGTACTAGGCCAAGCCTGTTTCTGAAGGAGTTAACACTTCCCCCTTTCTAAGACATCCACTACCACCTCCACCTCCACCACCATCACCACCACCACCACCATCATCACCAACACCAACACCACCACCACCAGAAAAAAGCGCAAAATGAACAACACCAGAGACAAAATGCTCTTATATTGAAGTGTTATAATTATTTTATTCTTTAAGTGTCTGGGGTTAGAGACAGGAAAGGTTATTAAAATACTAATTAGTCATATCTATCAACAGGCTGAACCTCACTAAGACAAGAATATATATTTATTAGCTAAATATTTATTAATTTTCTTCATTAGCTATTAGAAGCCGAAATATTTCATTCTAATACAAAAATATCTTGAAAATTTTTCCTCTTTTGAAAGAACATCAAAAAGTCATGTTTTTGTTGCAGGGTCAAATTTCGTTCCAGGGAGGGAGGGGAGAGTGAAGATGTTGGGTTTACTCTTCGTCCTCATCTGGGGATTCGTATTCTTGCTCTTCGAAGGTGCGCAGAGTGCATGACGCAACGACAGCCTCTTCCTTGTCCTGGAATAACAGAAAGAGCAACAAGATAAGAAACTACGCAAAGATCGTAAACGTTCACTTGGTTCTTTTAACGTCAAATAACTATAGTAATGAATCATAAAAAAATTATCATAAAAAATGAAAGAAAGAAAGTAAGAAAGAATTTTTTAAATAAATRAAACGCACCACGGAACAAAGAATAATGATTTTAATAAAAGCTTGTGAACAAATTTTTTTTTGTAAACGCAAACTTTCCTTCTTTATTAAACTACAAAAGGACACCATTACTGGCAAAGAAAGAAAACAATAGTCCAGGTAATGACACGAAAATAGAAACAGTRCAGTTTTCGTATGACTGTGAAAAGCTCAGTGCCGTGCCGTGACCGTGAATTTTAATTGGCTGATTTTTTTCTCGCGCAATTTGATTGGTCTGAAAATGCCGTGACTTTGGCGTGACCGTGTCCGCGCCGTGTTTATGCCGTGTTCTGGGTATTTGATTGGATGGAGAGTGAATTCTCGAGCAATGTGATTGGTCTGGCGTATCCCTAGCCGTGTCAAGAACGTGTTCGTGCCGTGASCTTTTCACAGTCATGCGAAAACTGCTCTAGGAAAAAAACCTAACGTGTTTTGTGTCGGTGTTCTCGGAGAAGCTCTTCCACTTACCGCGTCTTGTAGAGCTTGGTTCAGTTCCTTGAATTTACTCGAAGGAATATCAGTTGTCTTCCTTCTTTGAGAATTGTTATTCTAAAGAAAACAAAATAATTATCATTTAATCCCATTTGCAGATATACATAAGTGCGAAAAAAAGATTGTTGATAGTACAGTACCAGGAATTTAGTTTAATGATTATGTGAGGAATTAATATTTGTACATTGTAATAACTACTAAGAGCGCATTCCAGGATTTCCGGGATTTCTCACACCACCGATCTCCACAAATCATCCTTTTTTCTTCTCTCCCCTCTATCAAAAACTTTTGCAAAATCAAGGAAATCACCATTTGGAACAAGGGAGTCACTCTATGATCAGCCTGGATGTGCCCCTGAAAGCTAGTCACATGCCAGGATTATGTTATTTAGGTATATCAAACGGTCTTACTTTGCAGTTGTTTTACCAAATAAATTGTTTTTCAGAGAAGAAGAGAGATGATCGTAAAGAAAACTGCCATTCATAGAAATAAACAACAATTTAACACGAAGTAATCAAAATAAAGTAAAATGAACTGTAATTTTTTGAGACTGAAAAAAACTTGATCAGCTTAAGGTAGAGAAGGGAGACATGAAATAAGCGAGCCAAAAGCCCTAACCATAAGGAAAGTTTGCCTCCATTTTGATAAAGGTAAATCAGATAGCTTTTACTTACGGATAACCAATCTCCCTCCAGTACTTGAACAGCAGTGGGACGCTTCCTGGAATTAACAGAATAGATTGGTTAGTTGATTCAACTGCAACTTACAACAATCTTGGGCCATTTCGTAATTAGATGCTATACAAAGAGGGTCTAGAGGACCTAGAAAATAAATTAGAATATCGATCTGTCGTTTTCTCCAACCATCAATTCATTCTTTATTTGTTCATTCTTCCAAACCCACCCTATTCCAGCTATACATCCATCTCTCATTCATCCTTTATCTTTTTATTCATCCGATATCATATAGCCAATTATGTCCACCCTTTCATTCCAGCTATCCATCCATTCCTTCATCCTTCATCGTTCATTCTTCCATTCATCCCCTCTCATCCATCCTTCCATTTATTCCCTCCAATCCATCCATCCTTATATTCGTCCCATCCCATCGCACCCATGCTTCCCTCACTTCTTTCATTCCTTTTCTCCATTCCTTGACCACTCACTGCCTCCCTCGGTCCTCCTTTCTTTCCTCTTCCCGTTCCATTTTTTTYCTAACTTACTCAGGGACTCGCACCAGACACTTCTTGACAAGATTCTTGGCTTCATCGGTGGCTTTTCCAAACTTGTCTGCGGGCATGTCGTAGTCCACTGCTGTAACTGCCGCTGTAATTTCATCCTCATCTTCTGATGTGAATGGCAAAGTGGCACTCAACCTAATACAACAGAAGTCCGTTAGCTGTTAACATGACAAAAACGAACCCCAATTTGTGAAGTCCGGGCCTGTTAAGAATTGGTAAGCTATCGGTTCACATATGCCGAATGAATTTTAAATTAGACGCATCGCATCATGGGTTTTGCGGAGGCAGGAAAGCCGGAAAAACTCGCGAATCAAGAGAGACACCATACAAACACTTAGCTTCTCACATGGGTTACAGAGTTTATGAATCGAACACTAATCGCAATGGCGAGAGTCGACCTTTACACAGCCCTTGATTTTTTTAAACGATTTTTTTATTGATCATTTAGGGACCATACTTCCAGACACCGAGTGCTGAACCGTCGTATGGCAGCGCGAAGCATTTACGGCTACGCCGGAGAGTTCGACCCCGACACCGCTATCCATTAACTGATCAGGGAGCTCGGCCGAAGCCTAAGGGAGAGGTTAGTCGGCCCCTAGACCATAGATGATGAACCCCTTGCTATGACCAGCGACTYAAAAAAAAGTTCTCTGGCGTCCAAGCTCCTGCGATCGCGTTATTCCATGTGGGAGGCGTTTTATTCATTTAACAAGACTTCTTAACAAAAGCTAGGCATGCGCACAAGGTAGTTTGATAAACGGAAAGTTGTTTGAAATTTTAAGCCAATTTTCAAACGGCGAACGGCACGACAATAGAATGTTTTCTGGATGGCAACACATGGCGGTCAGATTTGAAGACCTTTATCAGCTGATTGAAACGCAGCAACAGCTTTGCAGAGAACGATATCATTTACTTACATAATGTACATGAGTACACCGATACTCCACATATCAGCTGCCCAGCACACGGGATCCATGTTCAGAAGCTCAGGCGCTGAAGTAGAAAGAAACAAAATAAGTAAAAAGGAAAGAAGGAATGAAGGAATGAAGGAAAAGAAGAAAATAAAAACTGAAAAGAAGGAAATTTGAAGAATTTCCACAGGTTTTTTATTGAAATGAAATAARATGAAGAGGCTTCATTTAACGAGGTTGACACTGACGGTGCGACTATTATAACTGGGGCTACTTTAGACTGCGAGCGGTCCCACTTTCCCCTCCAAGCTCAGTAAGGGCGAGTGTATTGGGATTTTGGGATTTAATATACATACAGACCTCAGAAACAGTAATATAAAATATAATTACTGATAATATACAAAGTATAATTCATTCACGTACCAGAAAACTCTGTGACACCAATAGCATCCACCAAGTCTCCAGTGTCGTTGACGATCCTACGAGCACATCCATAGTCGATCAGCTTGAGAGTGTAGTCCTTCTTTACCAGGATGTTTGCGGGCTAATAGAGATAAATACCATGCTATAAACATTCTCTTTACTTTTTGTTCAATCTTATATCCGCTATAGGGCAAGTATTAAAGACATAGAAAACGCGCGCGCGTGCTGTGTGCAGTTATAAAGCACGCGGGTGTTGACAGAACACAAGAGAAGTGTTAGAAGAAGCACAAAATATAGAAATATAGATAAGTTATATTGCTTGGGAACGAGGTTATTCCGGGCGAAAGACCCTTGGAAATAAATTGGGAAAAATTAATTTCCGACTTCGCTGGGAATCGAACCCMCGACCTTCGGAATTGTACTACCGATGCTCTAGAAGAAGAAGAAGCATGACGCGTAGCGCAGTGCTTCTCGACGCTTCTCGAGTGTTCTGCTAATCCCCAATTACTTTGTGACTCCACACAGCACAGCAAGCAAGTTTTTTATTTCTTTTATAAAATACAAATATCACGAATGAAGAAACTGAAGTGCACGCGCGTGCTGTGTGCTCTCATAAAGCACGCGCTCCCAACCAATCAGAACGCGAGATTTAGAACAGTTACTTTATAAACTGTTTTAGAAGTAAGAAATAGTAAGTTGCAATAAATAAGTAGACTATCCACATTATCTCGGCAAGATATACATCTATTGCAAAAAAGGTTGAATGGGAAAAGGTGAATGGGGATCGGTGATTGGCGATTGCATGACCGAAAGGACTTGAACTGTGGGTATACATTTAAAACACGAATAATCGTGGTATTGGAAATTTTTGTTTTTCCGTCTTAACAAAACTAAATATCTCAGCAATAACAACTAATTGTGTTATTGACAAGAGTGATAATAAGAAGCAGCAGTCATTCCAGGTATTCTTGATTCTTGGAAGGACTTATCGCTTTTTGCCTATYACCATTCGCCCCTTCAACCCTTTTTGAAATAGCTTCATGAGAAGAGATCAAGTGAAGTGCATTAACGCTAAGGAACCTGTAATCGTTCTTACCCTGACATCAAGATGGACGATCTTTAGGCCATGGAGGTACTTGAGGGCGTCAAGGGTCTGTCTCATCACAAACGCGACGTCTTCTTCATTTGCCCGTGGTTTTTCTCCGAGGAATTCCAGAACGTTTTTTGCCTCAACACTACAAGGAATATCTCTGTCAATAAATCTCTAAGCTCGTAGAAGCAATGACTGTATCGGCCAGTGTAATATGATATGATCATACTCTAGCTCAACAAAGATGGYGCAAAAAAACAAATTATCAACCCTAATCACTACCGCAAATATCGGTGACAAAAAATCTCTAAGCTCGTAGTAGCAATGACTCTATAACTGTATATGATAATACTTTGGCAACACACACACAAAAAAAGAATCACTACCGCAAAGTACAGCAGTGGCACAGCCCAACGGGGTTGAAACGGCAAGCAGTGAAGTATGTGAAGCATCCAGACCAATACGTGTAACCATTAGTGGACACGATTYGGAAGGARTGCACACGGTACGGTCACGGATTTACAACAAAAACAAACATTCGCAAGCTTACTTCTTATACAATTAGAAAAATTCTGACACAACGCCGCGTCATGGTCAAGATGAAGGACACGGAACGGAACAGCACATCCGTATTTCCGTGGTTTTATCCACAGTGTTAATGATTTAAACACATGATGCATAGTGATGTTAATTAAGACAGACTTACCCGTCCATCATGATAATGACGTATTTTCTGACATGGAAACCGTCTCGAGCAGTGAGGAGCTTGTCGTTCTTGAGGTCCTGCAGACAAACATGTCATTGTTCAATCAACGATTAGTCAACGATGTTTGTTCCTTGAATTCGTATTATTATACATTTTACTTAGTATCTCAATTCTGATTGGTCGAGAGCCCTCAGCCAATCCCTGATATCGTGTGAACTCGACATGATAACTGTATTATCTGTAGGTTTTCCTACAGATAATACATTTATCATGTCAAGTTCATTCAAGGT